GGAAGCCCTCTAACCAACAACAACATTCCTCAGAAGAGTAAGTAAGTCCCACTTCTTTGTTTATTCCTCAACTCTTTGAAAAAGGATACAGGCGTGTCCGAAAATCCCAACTTTGAAATCTTTCTCTTATAATATATAATAAATATCATCCATCTTATTGCCAATATTGTTATCATTTTGTTGGCTTAGGAAATATAAGTCATGAAGTAACGTCATTAAAGGAAGAAAAGAAAAAAATGAAATGAACTGAGTTTATTTATTTACTGGTGGAGGTATTTCTGTAGATGTGTGAAATGTCCGGAGAGACATGGGAAACACTACCTAAATAGACACATGAATTGCTTTATCATTTTCTTGAATATTTGTGTACGTTGATATTCCGAAAATACTCGAGAAATTTGAAGAGTTTGATGAACTTCACCTTTCAAATTACACAGCCACAAACCTGCTCAGGGACATTTGTGTTTCTTCAAAATCTACACTACCAAAAAGTGGTTTATGCTGCAGTTATGTCAAGCAGATATTAGCCATAGTTTCTTCGAGAGAGCGCACAATATAGAATGATAAGTAGTCCAGTTCAAGTTCCTCCCGGTTTTCTTTTTAACAGGAATAGAGGTTTTCACTTGTTTTCTGTTTAGGATTACGTTTCCGTTTCCTTGTAAAGTCTGCTTCCGTTCTATACTTCTGACGTCTGAAGTTTTATTCAGTATTTATTTTTTTTTTCTATGCACCGCCAGTAGCAGATACCTTCGCCTATCATCTGTTTCACACTTCTTATCGGTCTTTTGAACAGGTTTAGAGGTTTATCCCTTTTTATGTTTTTAAGACTGGGTTTCCAGTTCCTTCTAAAGGCTGTTTCAACTCTATACACCTGACACTTATTCTTTTCTGGGCTACCTTGGGTGGCTCTTGGGCCCTGTACTGAGTGAACATGAGTAAAAACAAAAATAAAAAAAGAAGTTCAGTATATCCAAATAGTTCTGTCGGCCCACTTCCAATTCTTTAGGATTAGGTCAGCACGTTGTATGATTTGCTGTCACTTCCTAACGGTGCCAGACGTTAGGAGTGTCTCCCCAGGTCGATATTATGAAAATGTCATCTCCATGATAAATCAACCATGACGAGATTCGAACAGCAATCTCAAGGTTAGATCGTTTACGTTTTATCCACTCGGCCTATATAAGTGCACATATACGTGTTTATACAAACTCAGGCATTAGCACTTGCATAACCATATATGTCAGTGAGTTATGTGCCATGCATGATACACGCTTAGGTAGTCATGTATCGAAAGATAGATGACTGACGAGGCAGTTTTTTCCGCATTAGGTTGCCATTTCTTTCTGCGGTAGACCAGATCCCATCCAAAGCTATAGAACCCGGTCTGTTCTGCTATTTACCTATTGCTAGGTGTGAAAAAGAGCATTCATACCTTTCCCAAGGGTATTAGCACATAAGTGAATTTCAGTCAGTTATGTGCCATGAGTGATATAAGCTTAGGCAATGATGTATCTTTCGATACATGACTGACGAGGCAGTTTTTTTTTGCAATAGGTTGCCATTTCTTTCTGCGGTAGACCAGTTCCCATCCAAGGCTATGGAAACCGGTCTGTCCTGCTAGGGAGAAGAAGAGGATTCATGCTTTTCCCAAGGATATTAGCACATAAGTGAATTTCAGTCAGTTATGTGCCATGAGTGATACAAGCTTAGGCAATCATATATCTTTCGATACGTGACTGACGAGGCATTTTTTTCCGCAGTAGATTGCCATTTCTTTCTGCGGTAGACCAATTGCAATCAAAGGCTATAGAACCCGGTCTGTCCTGCTATTTACCCATAGTTTGGGTGGGGTGAAGAAGACAATTCATACCTTTCCCAAGGGTATTAGCACGTAAGTGAATGTAATGTATGTATATACATAGTTAACAAACGCGTTTGTATATGCGTGTACACAAATACGAACGATTGTATTTATATGCAAGAAGTCATACATACACAATAAAAGTGCTATGTACACTAACATGCATATACAAATGTCGACTGAGGTTCACAGTCCGACACAGTAAAACCTCGTGGCGCATGCGCAGTTACACATTTTAAACAAAATGCCTATAAAGCGCGGCTGTCACTAGACTGAGGAGTTTGGCTTGAGATGTAATGCGAAACGTCAGTGCACACAATAAGAGTGATTAGGCAGGGTTAGTCAAAAAATCCAAAATGACCCTCAAAATGAAAGTTGAACGAAACAAAAATAAACGCTAAAAATAAATGTCAATATGGCTGAATTTTGTATGACAGGCGTAAATGAGGCGCTTGAGAAAAGGTTTTATAAAGATATAACAAGCACATTTAGCTAAAAAGAAAGAAAAGAAAGAAGAAACAGTTGGTAGAAAGAGAAAGTATGAAATGGTAGGGAAACGTGCCGGGATGATAGATAATAAAGGGTACTTGTATATTTTTCTTTTGGGTATATGGATATGGGAATTCACTGATAATAAAGAAAAGGAATCTGTTGCGAACCATCTTAACCTATGCCTCGAAGGGACATATTACACACACATATATACACACACACACACACACAAACACACATAAACAGACACAGACACACAAACACACACATATATAAATAGGAATAAGAGAAAAATTAGGATAAGAAAGTGAAGTAACGAAATGCACGCACATATATACATATGTACACATAAATATATCTAGAGAGAGACAGAGAGAAAGACACATAAAAAGAAAGAAAAAGGGACGGAGATAAAGATGTACAGAGAAAATCAAATGAAATCTATCTATCTATCTATCTATCTATCTATCTATCTATCTATCTATCTATGTTTTTATCTATGTTTATTCATGTTTCTTTTATCTATCTATCTATCTATCTATCTATCTATCTATCTATCTATCTATCTATCTATGTTTTTATCTATGTTTATTCATGTTTCTTTTATCTATCTATCTATCTCAGTCTGTTTCTTTCTTTCTATCTATCTATGTTTTTATCTATGTTTATTCATGTTTATTCATGTTTCTTCTATCTATCTATCTATCTATCTATCTATCTATGTTTTTATCTATGTTTATTTATTCATGCTTCTATCTATCTATCTATCTATCTATCTATCTATCTATCTATCTATCTATCTATCTATCTGTTCAGACTTAGGTATCTATGAATAAAGAAAGAAGAGCAAAGCGACTGATAAATATACGAGTGGAGAGAGAAGTGTAAAGTGAGAGAGATGAGGAGAGAGAAAGAGCTAGGGAAACGTAAAGGGAGATGTAGACAGAAATAGGGAAAAATAATTAGTGGTGGAGATGGAGGTTAATATAGATAGGGGAAGAGCATGATAGAGAACGAGAGAGCGGTGGGTGACGAGCGTGTGGGCGTCAGAGAGAGAACGAGAATTTGGATAAAGTTCAAATTAGCAAAGCTAAATGTAAAAGGAAAAACTGAACAAGAGGACACTGATCGATAAAATCCAGACAAAGTGGAAAAGTGCAAGTGATAATGTCTTTTTAAATAAAAAAGAAAACGTATGAGGATCTGCCAGCTTATTGATTCAGTTATGAAAGTTTATGCGATAATCTTAAGTAGCATTTAAGACCCGCTAGTGATTTACAAAGGAAGCCACATATGGAGCAGGTGTGAGAATTGAGATGAGATCACTGTTAGATTGGCTGACCTTTTAGATCTTGCTCTCGCTTCTTGAAGATGATTCAGACAAGCAGATTGAATATTGCTGAGTCCACTAAAACACGTTGATCTCCATTCTATCCGCTCCAAAGCTAAGCGCTCAAGGGTGTTATGCGGTATATTAACTGCTGACAAGTTGCTTTTCAGCTTGTCTTTGTATCTTAGCCACGGGCGTCCTACATTCCTGCAGCCCTGATCTAACTGGGTGTACATTAGGATCTTGGGTATCCTGTCATCAGACATTCTCCAGACATGACCAGTCCACCGTAACTGAGACTGGACGAGGAAAGTCTCGATTCCTCCAATATTACACCTGTTAAACAGGTCTACGTTAGATGTCCTATCTTGAAGCTTAACTCCACAGATTGCACACAGACAGTTTTTATGGAAAACATCTAGCTCTCTTTCATAGCTGGCGTATATGGTACCTGTATGGAGTCTATGAATCTGAGCCATACAAAAGGATGGCAAGTACAACAGTTCTGTAAACCCGAATTTTCGTCTATATATATATATATATATATATACAATAAAGAGGTAATTATACAAAGATGAAAACATTCGGCCTAGTAATATCAAATCTATCTGACGACAATTTAAACATCATGATCGCGTTATTCGGTGAATTATTAGTAAGTTAATGCCTTATTGAGGCTTGTTAGCGAATAGATTTCGCCATTACATTAACACTGCTAATTAATTCTTTGTATAATTACCTCTTTATGATATAATATATATATATTACATAATTTTATATATATATATATATATATATATATATATATATATATATATATATATAGTCGACTCTCCCGTCGAATTCGACGAATGAGGGTCAAAGCAGATCAGTTTCCAGGAAACCGACAACAGCACATGAGATTTGATTATAGTGGTGAAGGTTTCGTGCAAGACCATCGACACTTTTTGAAGGGCCGAATACATAGACCTGGTGCACTAAGTGCCACAAGGTCCCCAAACGACCCTCCGTAGGTTTTGAATTCGGAGTTGTCCTTCTCCTCGACCAGTTGCCATCCAAGGCTATAGACCCAGTATGTCCTGCTATTTTACCCATAGCTGGAGGGAGAAGAAGAGGATTCACACTTTTCCCATGGGTATTAGCACGTAAGTGAATGTAATGGATTCGACTGGAATTCGAACTCATCTCTGCGATTCCTCAATCCAAGCCGCTATCCATTACTCCACTGTGCCTCCTACATATATAAAAGAATTTAAGAAAAAAAGGGTGTAGAAAAAGAAAGAAAAAGAAAGAAATCCAGGAAAAATCCATATGTAATCAAATCCGTGACATGACAAGATATAAAAGAGAAAAGTAATAAAAGAAAGAGAGGTGTGAGTGAAAGAGAGAGAGAGAGAGAGAGAGAGAGAGAGAGAGATTAAGAGGGGGAGACGGAGGGGGGGAGAGACACTCAGGGAGACTGAAACAAATAAATAAAAATAAGAAAATAACGAAAAACGAGAGAGAACAATAAAGACAGAAAGAAAGGAGGTGAGAGAAAGAGATAGTGATATATATAGAGAGAGAGTGGCTAAAGCACCAAAATGAAAATAAAGAAACAAAATATACAAGAGAAAAAAATAAAGAGAAAAGGGTAAAAGGTGAGAGAGAGAGAGAGAGAGAGAGAGAGAGAGAGAGAAAGAGAGATGGAGTGAGAGAGACAGAGAGTGAAAGACAGAGAGAGCGTGGCTAATGCACAAAAATGACAAAGAAAAACAGGAAAGAGAGTAAAATAAAGAGAGGATGAAAGAAGGTGTGTGCGTGTGTGAGAGTGAGATGGAGTGAGAGAGTGGGTGAAAGAGAGAGAGAGTGTGGCTGAAGCACAAAAATGAAAATAAAGAAAAACAAGGAGAGAAAAATAGGGAAGGGAAGAAGAGGTGTGAGAGAGAGAGAGAGAGAGAGAGAAAGAGAGAGAGAGAGAGAAAGAGAGATAGAGTGAGAATGAAAGGGAGAGAGAGAGAGCGTTGCTAAAGCACATAAATGAAAAAGAAGAACACGAAAAAGAGAAAGAGAAAGAGAAGTAGAGAAAGTGAGAATAGCTGAACCATAAAGGGGAAAATAAAGAGAAATATGAAAGAGAAAAATACAGAGAAAAAAGGTGAGAGAGAGAGAGAGAGAGAGAGAGAGAGAGAGAGAGAGAGAGTGCGTGAGAGAAAAAAGTGGTTAAAATTCAAGAATGAAAATAAGGAAAAAGATATGAAACAGAAAACAAAAAATATGTGAGTTGAAGAGGGTAAGAGACAGTACGACCGAAAGTGTAAACAGGAAGAAACCAAAGAGAAAAGAAAATTCGGCCGTTGTGCTCTTCGGCCTTTATCAAGTGTATATCGATCTGGATAAACTACAGGTAATCTTGAACGGAACCATGATTAAGGCCAGACTGCACAACGACCGAAACGTGATAGCAACAAAATGAGCACAATAGTTCGAAAAGAAATAGTGTAAATGAAGATAATTTCTTATTACCTTGTGGGCGGGAACTGACTTGTCATTTGGTGAATACAGAACGGGGGTAGATTTGGTCAGCACCACAAGAGGCTAGAAAACCAAAATATTAATCCAAGAATTCGAATCAACCAATAAATGATAAATAGCTACATCAAAATTTGACACTCATGCGGATGTCATGTATTGCGTCCGAATCGTTCGGAAGTGCCTACACTATCCAGCGATATACAACATTTTTCTCAGACTAATGATTAAAAATGGATTCAAATGAAAGAATCCTGTAGGTCTTGAAGAGGACTGTCTTTCGTCAAATCTTCTAGATTGGCGTTACAGAATCACAAACAAAAAAAATCTACCGAATTATTAAGATCACATTACTTATAGATTATTACTTAAACCTTTGCCTATTCAGGGCATTCTCGTCTGTACTATTCATGCTTGTTTTTAGATTTATAACTATTGCAAGGCAACTCAGCCTATTTGGAAAATAGAAAGTGCTGATTTGTATAGTTTCACATAATAAAAAACCTGTGCAGCATATAAGTTACACTCCGCTCTGTGCTTCTTTTTCCACCGACCATTCCTTAAATAGATATTTTTGAAAATCCTTGTATATTCCGTTTGAAGCAGCCATATTATATAACCCTTAAGTTATATGGCTGCATCAAAATCAAATCACATATAATGACACAATATACGTAGCCTATATTGTGTTATCAGAGCGTGCAGGTGTCCTAAAACTAGATATCTCGCCTTCGTCACGGACACTTGGTTGTTGAGTCCATCTGTTAATATCACATCGCGGCTGTAGGCTTCAGTCTCGAAAGCCCTCCGCCCTGCGATACTGTGTTCTCACCGCGATGGCTGCACCCTCACACAAACATATTTCCGCCTATAACAGAATGTGCATACATACAATTCAACTCGCGCCAGAGTTCACGATCTTGGGTAGTTTGGTTTAAGGAGACAAGATCGCGTTGTGTCCATTTGATTACATTGGCACGGCACCTGATTCGCTGTTAAACCTGGCTTTTTTTTTCAGCGACCATTCTTTCAAAACATATTTTTGACTATCCCTGTAAGTTCCGTTTGATGAAGCCATATAACTTAAGGGTTATAACTCTTTACTTGTCCACGGCATTTTAGTGTGTACTATCCAAACGTCTATCCTTGTTTTCAGATTTATAATTAATGCAAGACAACTCAGATTTGAGGAGTAATAGAACATGCCGTTATATAGTGATGATTTTCCAAACGTAGCTTAGATATGGCACAAGGTCGAAAGTATAGGGCTCCCAGTGAGGATCGAACGCACTGCCCAGTCGTAATTATTCCAGCGTGACAAGCTTATTAATCATTACACCGCCTCGAGGTGCCCCGTGTCGTTATAGTGATTTTCCAAGCGTAGCTTTGATGTGGAATAAAGCCGAAAGTATGTGATCGAACTCACTATTCAATCGTAAATATTCTAGCGAGACAAGCGTGTTAACCATTACACCGCCTCTAGGTGCCTCAAAATTATTTTCTAAGCGTAACTTAGATGTGACACAAGGCCGATAAGTATAGAGTACGCACTGAGGGCCGAACTCACTACTCAGTCATAATTGTTCTAGTGATACAAGCTTGCTAACCATTGCCCCGCCTCGATGTGCCCCTTGCCGTTATACAGTATTTCAAATAATAAAAACCTGTGCGTAACATGTAATGATCAGAACTTGAAAATCATTATTTACACTATGCTCTGTGTATCACATGTTATGCAAAGGTTGTAATCATTTCAATAAAGTGGAAAAATAGATGTCTTTCATTTGAGACCTTACATTATCTGTCAAACGTCCTGTGGTCATATATGATGTACAAAATATTAGATTAGGCCTTTCTTCAGACATTCTGCTCAATAGTAGACTCTTTATTTAAGCGTCTTTAGTTTTACCAATCTTTTAAAATCATGGCTCGTGTACACCACAGATGATGCACAGATGTGGAAATCATGTCCTGTGCATCAAATACGATGCACAGGACAGGCAAAGGGTTAAATTGGAATTTCTTTCTGTAATCATGAGACCTAAGCAAAAGAATGAATTCTAAGCATTTTAATGGTGAAAGAACACAAGAAAAGATTGATGATAGTGATCTAAGTCCTGTTGATATCTCATCCCCTGATGAAAGTGAAGATCAATTTAGGGGTTGAATTTTTTTCTTTTTCAAAGCGAAAGGTTATAATCATTTCAATAAAGTGGAAAAATAGATGTCTTTCATTTGATACCTTACATTATGAGTCAAGCATCATGTGGTCATATATGATCCACAAAATATAAGATTAGGCCCTTCCCCAGACATCCTGCTTAATAGTAGACTCTGTTTTTAATCATCTTTAGTTTTACCACTCTTTTAAAATCATGGTTCGTGTGCACCACAGATGATGAACTGACGTGCAAATCACATGTCTTGTGCATCACATATAATGCGCAGGACAGGCAAAGGGTTAAGTTAGATATATTATAGCTTCTATAATCATTAGTATTTTTATACAGTTAAATTTATAAATATACATGTGCCTAACCCCTTCCTTGGCGTAGAAGTGTATATATATTTTACCGACATTTTTTTCAGACACGGACCAATAAACACGATGAAAACATAACTTTCATAAATCAGTTACATATGTGCTAATATGTCTATCTTGATTCATTTTATGCTCCTCTGACCTTGAAACAAGTCAAATTGTCAATTCATACATCCGGTAGAGGTGTCAGCCACTGCTCGGATACTTCAAGGTACCTCAGGTTTCTTAGTTACTATATTAAAAACAAATAAAAAAGATTCGTCTGAAAATGAAAAGATTTTCCCAAAATAATTGAAGGGGAGAGGGTTAAATAGCCTCGTGAGATCTAAACTCTCATGCGGATGTCATGCCTGGCGTCCAACTCGCTCAGAAATGTCTAAAGTATTATTTATATATGTTGTGGTAAATCCTCCTACAGTAGAATGAACTCTTCCGCCTCTCATAAATACTAACTTCGAGAGTTGGTTGGAGAATGGAGACGCAGTGTTAACTTACCGTTCGGACGTACACCTCTATCTGCTTATTACTAACACTCTTGTTTTGTATATATCTGTTGTTTCAATATACTTGTTAAACCTACCTTCGTCTTCCGTGCCTCGTAACAGGCCATAACACTATACAAACCATTTCTCATACAAATGATTAAAATACATTCAAGTGAATGAATCCTGTAGGTCTTTGAAGGGGATTGTCCTTTGTCAGATCTTGTCGACTACGGTTACAGAATCATAAAGAAAAGAAATGTATCAAATAGCACAGACAACATCACTTGCAGACTTTCAACAGCTGCAAAAACTAAAATGGATAGCTCGTGTATCTTGAAGGGAAAATAATGGCATAATGAAGATGTTAACTTTTCTTACTGCCTTAAACAAAATGTTAGGATGGCAACTGCCAGCAATACCAGAAACTCTGAAAATTGAACTTTATAAATCTATTTTCCTGAAAAACTATTTAAATGAATGCCAAATGTTTACTAATATGAACATAGCTAACCTCAGTGTTACACTGACCATAAGGAAAAGGCTAATATTATTATAATTCTTCTGGTATTTGTTGATGTGTTGTCTAATGGCGCTTTGGTCAGATAAATGGCACAGGAGTCTCCGTAAAAGTGCATAATTATCTATAATATATTTATAAAGCAATATAGTTTTAAGCTGTGCTATATTTATGGAAGAAAGTGCTCAATATCAGGGATAGAGCGTATGTAAATATAAAAATGAACATTGAAATCAATACTCAGAGACGACAGACTGTTTCATGCTAGACACAATCATCAGGCCACCATTTATAATATATATATATATATATATATATATATATATATATTATGAAATGGAAAGAAGTCCGACAATTATTTTTTAAGACATTTTTTATGTTTATACATTCTTTTTATAGATACAAATATTTAAGTAAATGCTCGGTTTATAATAAATAGTATTAACAACATTTACCGGCCTGAATGTCCAAGAAATTTTCATAGGACGCATATTTTCTATGAAAATTTTTCGGACATTCATGCCTGTAAATGTTGTTCATACTGTTTATTATAAACAGAGCATTTACTTAAATATTTATATCTATAAAAAGAACGTATAAACAATATATATATATATATATATATATATATATATATATAGTTATGTTATGAAAAACTTGATAATCCGTATGGGTAATCCCAAGGAGGATGAAATCCTGAGAGCTCAATGTAAATCCAGAGCTATTATTTTAAAGAAAAACAGACCACCAAGGTTCCTTTATAATAATTTATTTCACCAGAGCCTTTTTTAAAGGACTCCAGATCATCAGATAGCACTTCCAAAAATGAAACGAAAAAAAAAAACCCCCAAAATCCGGAGTCCTTTAAAAGGGCTCTGGTGAAATAAATTATTATAGTGGAGCCTTAAAGTGGTCTGTTTTTCTTTTATATATATATATATATATATATATATATATATATATATATAATGAAATATAAAAGGAAGGATGAAATCACCTCCTCCTAAAAAGTATAGACAGTTTAATCATAAGAAAAAGAACATTAAAATGCTTTGAGAGAGGAGGGATATATTACCAATTTGGTTTTCACCCCTCATACCCAGTTTATATGTAAAACCAGGAGCAGGGATACGATACGGTTTATCCACCACATTTAATCTGAAATTGAAATTGGAAAGATATTTTTTTAAGTTATTGGATAAACATTTTCCGAAACACTCTTTATTAGCTAACGTGTTTAATAGGAATGGCGTGAATCTGTGTTAGAGTTGCACTGGCAAATTGAAGACTGTAATAAAGAATCATAACGTTAAAAATTTGGAGACAGAAAGCGGTAGAAGGGAAGAAAAGAAGATATTTAACTGTAAAAATAAAAATAATTGTCCATTAGAGGGGAAGTGTTGCATGGAAGACATCATTTACATTGCTGAGGTCAGTGATAAAAATGGTTTCAAGAAAATATAAATTGGATGTACTGAGGACACGATCAAAAAAAGATTTTATAATCATGCTTCGTCTTTTAAGTTGAAAAAATCACAGATATTACACCAAGCTGACCGATTGTGTCTGGAAAAATAGAGAGAGATATGGAAGGATCCCTTCTGTGAGGTGAAGCGTAGTAAGGAAGGTAAAACTCGGCAGTATTCGCAGTAACTGTTGCTGGCTGTACCAGGAACATAAATTGCTTATTGCCACGTATCCTGATAAAGGTGTTTTATTAAATGAGAGTAATAGTTATTCTCACCATTACAATTGCGCATTTCAAGGCCTATGGTATCAGTAGTCAGTTTCTTCTTGCTTAGAATAAAGTACCCTAATCCGTTTCTGTCCCCTCAAACAGCAGACACGTGGCACAGTGCATAATGGCGTTGGTTAGATCCAGTGACAGGACCCAAAGAGTGTGAGTTCAATACCCGGTTAAGGCAGTGGAGAACTTGGAGAGGGGAATTAACAGGAGATAACTGATAACTGACATCCATTAAAACATGGCACGTGGAACTAGAACAGTCTACACCAGCGAGCGAAATAAAGGGTTCAGTTCGACATTCCAATCACCTGAAGAAGGCCAGAGCATACAGCGGCCGAAATGTTGTGATAAATATGGCAACAAAGATGTGAGCAATAGTCCGAATAATGTAAATAGTGAGAGCAGCGTAAGTCAAACAATCCGACAACACGTGTCTCCTGTTCGCTACCCTCAGACGCACTTCTCCATCGCCTTGTCAAGCACTTGAGTGACAGGTCAAAATTTACATTGGTGCAAAAAAAGAGTTTCGCGAAAGTATCCAACTTCGGGATCTGTCGTTTCTTCGATATACGACTCGTATTGCTGTCATTTTCTTTTTGGGATAGTTTACACGCGAGACACGTCCGAATTCGTTTTCTACCAGGAGATAGGCCATTTTCTTTCGTGTTACAGTATTTTTACAGAATATTTATTTATTCTCTGATAACGAGAACGAATATACCGCTACTTCGACTGGTAAGTAGTGTGTCACTGGGACTAAAGAAGGAGAGGAATCGACAGGAGATGTATTGCAATTACTACTGAAAATGACAGGAGCAAAAAGTGGGTATCAGGCATGCTTTCCTTTTTTTGTCATTGCCATTACCGTTATTATTTGTCTCCAGTCTACTAGTTTGGTTTGGTTTACTGTATATCAACCTAAATGGGTTACTTAATGACGACAAGATTTTAATTGCTGGTAATATTTTTATCTATCTATCTATCTATCTATCTATCTATCTATCTATCTATCTATCTCAGTCTATTCATATCTATCTATCTATCTATCTATCTATCTATCTATCTATCTATCTCAGTCTATATTGGTTTAGTTTCTTTCGTTTTTATGGTATATCAAATTCAATGGGTTATTTAATGCGGACAATATATTTTATTGCTGCTAATATTTTTTATCTATCTATCTATCTATCTATCTATCTATCTATCTATCTATCTATCTATCTATCTATCTCAGTCTGTCTGTCTGTCTATCTATCTATCTATCTATCTATCTATCTCAGGATATATTGGTTTGGTTTGTTTCGTTTTTATGGTATATCAAACTCAATGGGTTATTTAATGACAAGATTTTTATTGCTGGTAATATTTTATCTATCTATCTATCTATCTATCTATCTATCTATCTATCTCAGTATATATTGGTTTGGTTTTGTTTCGTTTTTATGGTATATCAAACTCAATGGGTTATTTAATGACGACAAGATTTTTATTGCTGGTAATATTTTTATCTATCTATCTATCTATCTATCTATCTATCTATCTATCTATCTATCTATCTCAGTATATATTGGTTTGGTTTGTTTCTTTTTTATGGTATATCAAAATCAATGGGTTATTTAATTCCAACAATATTTTTATTGCTGCAATATTTTTTATCTATCTATCTATCTATCTATCTATCTATCTATCTATCAATCTATCTATCTATCTCAGTCTGTCTGTCTATCTATCTATCTATCTATCTATCTATCTATCTATCTATCTATCTCAGTATATATTGGTTTGGTTTGTTTCGTTTTTATGGTATATCAAACTCAATGGGTTATTTAATGACAAGATTTTTATTGCTGGTAATATTTTTATCTATCTATCTATCTATCTATCTATCTATCTATCTATCTATCTCAGTATATATTGGTTTGGTTTGTTTCGTTTTTATGGTATATCAAACTCAATGGGTTATTTAATGACGACAAGATTTTTATTGCTGGTAATATTTTTATCTATCTATCTATCTATCTATCTATCTATCTATCTATCTATCTATCTATCTATCTATCTCAGTATATATTGGTTTGGTTTGTTTCTTTTTTATGGTATATCAAAATCAATGGGTTATTTAATTCCAACAATATTTTTATTGCTGCAATATTTTTTATCTATCTATCTATCTATCTATCTATCTATCTATCTATCTATCTCAGTATATATTGGTTTGGTTTGTTTTGTTTTAAGGCATATCAACTTTAGAGGGTTATTTAATGACGACAAGACTTTTATTGGTGCTAACTAATCTATCTATCTATCAAAGTATATATTGGTTTGGTTTTGTTTGTTTTTATGGTATATCAAACTCAATGGGTTATTTAATGCCGACAAGATTTTTATTGCTTCTAATATATGTATATTTTTTATCTATCTATCTATCTATCTATCTATCTATCTATCTCAGTTTATATTGGTTTGGTTTGTTCTGTTTTGCGTCATATCAACCTCAATGGGTTATTTAATGGCGATAAGACGTTTATTGCTGGTAATAATTTTTACAGATTAAATAAGTTAAATTAAGTATTAAAACCTATTTTTATACATTCATAGTGTTTTGAGCCCTTTGGGTGGTTAACTATTTGCCCATAGTTGGAACCCTGATAGGTACTGCCACCCCGGGTCAAAAGAGACCTGAGAACACCAGCAATTAAGAGGTTTTTCACGCTCCTCAAAACCTCCTTATCAAAGGCATTGCTTTCGGACGTAGTTTATCGTCTTACCCAGAACACAGATATCGTTTATCGTCTTAACCAGGACACGGATGTAATTTATCCGCATACCCAGAACACGGACGTAGTTTATCGTCATACACAGGACACGATGCAGTTGGTAGTTGATGAGTTCTTACTGGGCTGGGAAAGTGTAGTATCTGTTTATCTTTTGGTTCGGTAGTTAAACTTATATCTCTCGAATTGCGCCAACCTTCGGACAGAGGACAAATAAATGATGCCTGGTCCAAGGGATTCCAACACTGCCACAGCATCGTCTTCCTTACACCAAAGAGAGGGGTCGCTAGAATATCAACACCAGGTGCACGCGCTTTTACTCCCTACTTTAAACCGGTCTTGTGTCGTATCTCGCCGCCGGGTTGTGGGATAGCGAGTAAATACTATTAAATATTCTACCATCTCTAATGATAATCCGTCTTGGGTATGGCGATAAACTACATCCGGCAGCAAGACAGCAAAACCATCTCCAGAGGATATATATATATATATATATATATATATAAAAGGCTCAAACACTAATATTCCATGGTTATAATTTATTACATTGGAATCGTAATTACGATCCAATTCATCAGACCTGCAAATTCAAAAAGAAATTGGAAAATATAATTGGCTGGATTTTAAGTTTAGATCATATCGTTTTTTATTGTGCATTGTGTCACCATAAATGTATCCACATGTTTCCGGTGTCTATTTTTGAATTTTAATTTTAGGTCAGCGAATCAGTAGCGATTTATTTATCTGAAAATAATTCATATTTATCTGTATCTCACTCATTTAAACCGTTATTTAACACCTCTCTCGAAAATTTTTCTCTGTTAAATTTTAATCCCCACCTTCACCTTTAGGACTTCCTGTTCTTCTTTCTTCTGTTACACCCTCTCTCTAGAGCTTTTATACATTCCCCTCTCACTCTTGTTTCCCACTCCCACACATACACTCTTACTAAAATTTTGTTTTTATACCCAGAGTTATATTTTCCAATTTTTTTAATTTTTAGGTCTGATGAATTGGATTGTGATTACGATTCCAATGTAATAAATTATAACCATGGAATATTAATGTTTGAGCCTTTTATGTTTTATTCTTACTCTGTCCTGGACATTGAGTTCTACCTGGATTCTATCCTCTTGGGGTGGGAATTTATATATATATATATATATATATATATATATATATATATATATTGACAACTAATATTATATATACATATATATATGTATATATATATATACATTGACAACTAATATAATATATATATATAAATATATATAAATACATATAAATATAAAAGTGATAATAGAAGTCAACACTTAGAGGCGACAGTCTGTTTCATGCTAGATGCAATTGTCAGGCCACTTATATATATATATATATATATATATATATATATATATATATATAAGTAAATGCTCTGTTTATAATAAATAGTATTAAACAACATTTACCAAAAGTATATATATATATATATATATATATATATATATATATATATATATATATATATATATATATATGTGTGTGTGTGTGTGTGTGTTAGTCTACTCGATGTCGAGAGAAAGTCTATTTTTTTTATTATTTTGTACCCAAAAATGAAGAAGGTAGGAAACGATAAATCATTGTTCGGCTAGCACGGACCTGGCATGTCTAAAAAGAAGACTTTTAAGACTTGAGATAGACTTAAATCTACGCTGACATATTGAACACATTATTTGCCAGTTTCTTGTTACGGTTAGCAATTGCTTATTTGTTTATTTATTTATTTATAACATGATTAACAACTCTTGAATTCCATAATATAATCCTACGGGATTAAATAATTTATTGTAAATGCAAATGAATATTATCATTTGAGATTCGCATGTTATACCTTTCAAATAAATATGAGAAAATCATGAAAATGTTATCATCATTAATTGGATCATACGAATCTTATAGCGTGTACATTAACTTGCATGATAAAATCTGACATTGTATTAATTACAAGGTGAATCAATTTATTAATCATAATAGAAAACCGATCTCCTACAGTATGTCCAGTATAAACTTATATTAATATTTAACATAAATATGTCTTGAAAAATTTCAAAATATTTGTTGTTTCGTACCAATTTTATTGTGAAAATGGATGTGATGTAATGGTTAACGAGCCAGAAAGAGCCAAGTTCGAATTCTAGTCATGTTCGTTACATTCATTTACGCTCAAATAATCTTGGGAAAGGTATGAATCCATCAATTCTTTCCTCCAGTTATGGGTTGCATGGGACAGATTGGGTTCTGTAGCCTTGGTTGCCAACCAGTCTACCGTAGAAAGAAAAGACAGTCTACGGCGAGAAAATCTTCTGCCTAATGAATACAAAGCGACATGATCGCTTAAGCGCATATCGCGTATAGCACGGAACTGTCAGGTTATAAAACCATTGAGTTACATAATAAAATCTGACAACGTTTAGTGATTCTATCGTGGATCCCCAACTTTATGTCCAGGAGTAAAAAGGGTGTTCGAATAACTTGGACCGATTTTAAATGTGAATTAAGTTTAAGCGTCTAATGATTTTTTTCTTTTTCTTTCAGATTTAACAACTTAAGTCTTTGGCAATTTCAACCATGGAAAGATTAACAATCAAACAACGTGTTAAAGTTATCGAAGTCTATTACGAAAATGGATGTTCAAACAGAATTTAAATGAGAATTTCCCAGGTTGCATTATCATCTCTCGAAACAGCAAAGTCACTTGGCCACCACGATCGGACGACTTGACGCCTTTAGATTTCTTCTTTTGGGGTCATCTTCAAATTAAGGTCTATTCCAACAAGGCAACAACGATTCAACAGCTGAACGATGAAATAATATAGTAATATTCGTGAGATCGAGGAGCAACTATGCAAAGACGTCAAATAAAATGTTGAACATCGAGCGGAAGTGTGCTGCCAAAGCCTTGGCAGACATTTGGGCGATATTATTTTCACACATAATTGCCATGACTTCAATAACATGATCTAATAGAGAAATAAAAAGATTTTCACCAATAACACTGATTTATTTACTGCTGACTTTAATCCCTTATATATAATTTGTCTTAATGAAACACCATTTATATTAATATTTAATGTAAATAAATCTTTAAAAACTGTTCCTATCATTGGTTGCTTAATGCCAATTTTATTGGGAAACTCTTGCATAACAAAATCTGACATGGAGTAGATAGATAGATAGATAGATAGATAGATGATTTTGTCTACTCGATTTTGAGTATGACCCGTGTAATATTTTGAGTATGACCCCTATGTAAGAAACTATCTCGTCCTGGGTATGACTATAAACTACATCCGGCAGCAAGGCCTCCGATCGGTAGGCTTTGAGGAACGTGGTATCACCTCTTAATTGTTGTTGTTCCCAGGTCCACCCTGGCCCCGGGGGGTGGTAGCATCTGTTAGGGTCCCAGCTATGACCAAATAGTGAACACCCAATATATTAGAAAAATTGCTAGCAATACATTTTGGGAAACAAAAATTACTGAAGTTCACAAAAGAAATAAAATTTCGGCATTGAATGACCCATAAGGAATCGATATGCCGTTAAACAAACAAACAGAACTAAGAAACTACCTGCAGTGATACAGCATGAACACTAATTTCTAGGTGTATATAACTAGTATAATTTAGTGACAAATATTCTGGAGATAACAAGTAATACCTCCAGGTTTTTTTTTTAAATTCAGACTTGCCTTTCTCTTAAAATTCAGACTTGCCTTTCTCTTAAAATTCAGACTTGCCTTTCTCTTAAAATTCAGACATGCCTTTCTTTTAAAATTCAGACTTGCCTTTCTCTTAAAATTCAGACTTGCCTTTCTCTTAAAAATTCTTTTCTCTTAAAATTCAGACATGCCTTTTCTTAAAATTAAAACATGCCTTTCAGACTCTTTTTAAAATTCAGACATGCCTTTCTTTTAAAATTCAGACTTGCCTTTCTCTTAAAATTCAGACATGCCTTTCTCTTAAAATTCAGACTTGCCTTTCTCTTAAAATTCAGACTTGCCTTTCTTTTAAAATTCAGACTTGCCTTTCTCTTAAAATTCAGACATGCCTTTCTCTTAAAATTCAGGCTTGCCTTTCTCTTAGACTGAAGAGCTTAGTCGGCCCTATTATTTAACCTCTAGCTGATGGATCGAGATAAGAAAAGATGATTCATACCTTTCCCAAGGATGTTTCCGCGAAAAAAAAAAAAAAAAACTTGAATGGAAGCCGAACGACATTTTAGAATTGTAATTTAAAAAAATAAAAACAATTTAAGTGATTTAAAACATGGCTGTTATAGACAATTTAAAACATGTTTGCTATACTCATTATTAACCTTATTTAGTGTTGATTGTATTTTTTAAATAATAGTAGCAGACTATTATTTTTTAGAGAATTGTATTTTTGTTGTAACTTCCTCCTTTTGATCTTTGAGGTCAGATACAGGGATACAAAGGAAGTCGATTATGATTAGCTAAAACTAGCGTGGGAATGTTAGATAGAGAAAGAGACATCAAGGAGTTAAGTTTTACATGTCATTCAATGTTGAAGCTTGCACATTCGTCTCTGGGAACTTCCTTCCCAGTGGCGGTGAGAGACCGAACACACTGGCTAGTTAGATGTACTCGTCGACGTGGAGAATAAAACTCATAAAATACAAATTCTTTTCGTGAAGTTCTCTTTTATCTCCGAACAAAACAAATGGCGATCAACGACCGAGAAAGAAGAAAACTATACGAGTAAATCAAGACCATCGTCGCCAAAACTGACCCAGCACGAAGAAGCTATACAACATATTTTTCCTCGATAACTCTTCTCTGTCAACTAATGTTTTGCAAAAGATCAACATTATATATCAATTTAAATGTTCTTTGGGAGATTGTATCTCTGACAAAAAATAAAGATATATGTTGGTTTCACGACAACAACATGATCGAGGAGACTTACACAACACGTAGCAGGTTCAAGTTCCTTAGCCCAACATTTAAAGGAACATTCTTGTCTACAGTCACATTATAGAGAAATATTAATACAAGTATGAAAATCAGAAACAAAAACTTCAACTTCTTGAAGCCCTCTATATAAGAAAAATACAACCAACACTAAATAAGGTTAATTATGAGTATAGCAACAGTGTTTTAAAATGTCTATAACAGCAATGCTTTTAAAAATATAATCGTATAAGTTAAAGTTGCCTCCCTTAGATGACTATAATTTTGCGGTTAATTTTTAAATTGATCATAACGCAGCGCGTTCATACGTGTTTATTATTATTACAGAGAGCGTTTCATGCGAATTTACAAAAACATTCGCAACTGTCAATTACATTAATTTTTGTCTTAGCAATTCACTCTTGAAAATGATCTTGGGTGAGTTCGACTTGGGAAAATAAAAGAAATGAAAAAAAAGTACGTCTCTTTCCTTCATGAATGTAATAACAAAATTAAGAAATTAATCCGCAAATTTGAGCGTTTTAAAATAAAATAAATAGACATGACATGTCCAGATTATTCAACCACACATGCTTGAATAAAGATATGCTGCCTAAATATACCTATATATATATATATATATATATATATATATATATATATATATATATATATATATATATGAAGAAATATAGTCTTAAGGTGTGCTATATTTATGGGATAAAGTGCTCGATATCAGAGATAGAGCGTGTGTAAATACAAAAAGTGAACATAGAAGTCAACACTTAGAGGGGACAGTCTGTTTCATGCTATATGCAATCGCCAGGCCACGTGTGCTGTTATTTTTCTCGGCTATTTATACATATACGGGTATATATATATATATATATATATATATATATATATATATATATATATATATATATATATATATATATATA